GTACTTCACTCCCTCATAAGGGTAGAGCTTGGGTGGAGAGCTTTATGTTATGCACATGTAAATGAATGACCAATATATACAATAAATAAATTAATAACTAAACAAATATAAGCAATGAAAATAAGTAAATAAGAAAGAAAGAAAATAATCCCAAATTTATTATGCAAGGCTTGGATAATAAGAAATCATTTACTGGTTTAACTCTCGGTATCCTCAGTGAAATCGTCAAACTGTCATAATGTATAGATCCGTGGACCTATCATTAGAAATGGTTTAGAGGTAGTTACCACCAATCTTTTTTGTTTAGGTATGACTGGCCACTTGATCGAATCTATCCCATTTAAAGAGGAGTCTTAAAATTGATTTAGATATCTTTAAATGGTAGATTCTAATCTACAAAATCAAATTTTAGGTTTGAAAATGCAATTACATATAAGAAAAGTTATAACACCCTCACAGCGCTCATCCATAGGATAGTACCGATTTGTTTCCAAATTATCCAAGCCTTAAATATATTTGTAATTTACTAGAATATTTAATATTAAAAATCAATCATAAAATTACTCCAATAGTTTGGTAATAATTTAAGGTAATTTTTTCACCTCAAGAGCATTCACGGAGATTAGTATTCCACCTTGAAGAGGCTCCATCGTCAAATTTATTAATGCAATTTATTCAAAAAAAATTAGTAAAGCCCTCCAATAGTTTGGTAGGATTTACTTTGAAACAGATCTCCCAATAGTATGATGAGATTTCATTTGCAAGATATTTATAAAATTTTATTTTTATTTTGTTGAGAAAATTCATTAAGTTTCCCACTAGTTTGGTATGACTTAATTTAAGAAGCAAATCCTCCAATGTTTGGTAAGAAAATTTATTTTTTATTATTATTTTTTAAAATTTATTTATGAAATTTCTCAATAGTTTAGTGGATTTCATAAAATTTAAATTCATAAAAATTCTTCAATAGTTTAGTAGGATTCATGAATTTATTTGAAAATTTTTTTTATTTTTTATTTTTAATAAAAACATATTTTTATAAAAAATTCAACAAATAATAAATTACTCAGTAAAAATAAATAAACAATAAAAGTCTGTAAAATAAATAAAAATATAAAAATGTAAAATATAAAATAAATAGAAATAAAATCAAAAAATAAAATAAAATAAAATAAAAATACTATCAGGTTGGGTCGCACCACGGGTAATGCACAGATCCTATTTGGGTTACGTTCGGATCTTGGCACTTAGAAATGACACTGTATAAGGACAATATACAGCTAAATCCTCTATGTTTTCTTCATAAGCTCCAGTCTCTTTTTTCTTTCTAGCTTCATATTTCTCTCTTTTATTTCTTGGAAACAAAGAACATTCAACCGAAAACTAGAAATTTTATAGGTTTCTGAAAAAACTTGTTAGAATTTTACCGAAAAATTTAACATTCGTAAAAAAATTCAACAAAAAAATAAAAAAATTCATCCTAAACCCATATTTTTCATATATTTTCCTAGATTTTTCCCAAATTCTTCAAATTTTAAAAAATTCAACCCTGATCCCAAAGATCTAAAATCTCTGTCCCATTATTCTAAAACAAAAACCAAAAACCCAAACCTTTCTTAATCACCTAAAACTTTGAATCCAAAAGCTCCCTACCAAAATCCCAAAAACCCAGTACCTAGAAAAATTTTTAGCATTTGAATCACAAAGCTTTTTCTCTTAGATTAACTATGTCCTATTCTTAGAAATCTTGTCCAATTTATAGGCAGTACCTAGCATAGATTTTAAGGGTCAAACAGAACCAATTCAGGCTTGAACCATAGGATTGAATTTTGTCTGAGCATAATTTTAGGCCAAATTTTTGCTAATTTGTCTAGCTTAAATCCAAAAATCCTTTTATTATGAATTTAAACCTTTGACTGTGTTGATTAAATTCCTTTGATCCAGATTTCAATTTCGTAAATCAATCGCTAGTTAGGAAGTAAGGAAAGAAAAAATAATAATAATAATAATATAACACAATATAATACCATACGCTCGACTAATATACTATATATACTATACTACTACTACTACTACTATTGCTACCACTACTACTACTACTACTACTACTACTACTACTACTACTACTACTAATAATAATAATAATAATAATAATAATAATAATAATAATAATATAATACAATATAATAATAATATAATATACTATAATGAAATAAAATATAATATAATACAATATACCATACTATAGTAATGTAATACTAACAAACATAATAAAAATTGATCCGATTGATCTTGGACATAGATGGGTGTCTACAATATATATATATATATTATCCTTTTAGTTTAGAAAATTTAGTAAAGCATGCAAACTATATGTATACGTGATTTTTTTGCTTTGAATTTAAAATGTAATTTTTGTTTTGAATTTGGAACTTGATTTTTATCAATATATATATATATATATTTGAGAATATAATATTTTTGCACAAGATACTTTGAAAGGAAATAAGAAAATTTCTTTGTATGAGATAAGTTCTACAAAAATGCATGAATATTGCTTTGTATATTTGAGTAATTTGAAAATATGTTTTGTTTTGTCTCATAGTATGACAATGCTTTTAACATTGCCAACTAGGGTTAAATGTTGGTTATGTTGACATGTATTTTATGACTTAGAAATTGATTTCATACCATGCCACCAGTTTCAAAATAATAGTTTTTATTCATTATGCCATCAGTTTTAGAATAATGGTTTTATTATGTTTAGAGCAACTATTCGGTTGTTTCTGATATATTTAACCCATGCCATTAGAGTTAATTTTTTTTATATGATTTTGACTTGTGCAATTGGAGTTTATTATGGTTTTCAACCTATGCCATAGAGGTTAAATGTGGCTATAGCATGTTATTAAAGACTAATGAGAATTATAATTTTATTAGTTTTGTTATATGAGAATATGATTTTTGAACAAATATGATTATGTTAATAAAATTTCCCATTGTTATTTTTGAATCACAAATAGCAATAATTTTAGCTTAAATATTTTGTAGCATACTTTATCCAATTAAATGGATGTCAGTTACTTATTGAGTCATTGTTCTCATTCCTTTATTTTATTTTACCTTTTTCATATTTTAGTAATTCCACTTTCGGAGAATTAGTTTTGAAGCAAGTATAATTTTATGAAATTCTGTTAGTTTTTTTATATGAGAATGTGATTTTTGAACAAATATGATTAAGTCAATATGATTACCCATTGTTATTTTTAAATCACAAATATTGATAAACTTTGGCTTAAATATTTTGTAGTACATTTTACCCAATTAAGAAGATTTCAGTTGTTTATTGAGTTGTTTTCCCTTATTTTACTTCATCTTTTTTAGATTTCAGTAATTATACTTTTGGAGAATTAGTTTCGAAGCAAACTTGTGTTAGCAAGATTATCCATTGTCCCATGATTTTTATATAGTTTGGATGTGAGTATTTTAATACCGGTTTAGAAGATTTGTTAGTTAGCTATAATATTGGTATCATTTGATCACGATGTATCACTTTAATTTTGGAGATTTGATATGTTGTAAAGTTTCATTTTTGAAATTTTTGAAAATATTGATTTTGGCTTAGTATGATATTTGTTGCTTTAAATGCTTATGAGATTCTATACATAAGTATGTGATGTGTTTATATCTTAAATCCTTAGGATTTGAGCGTGACATTAAGGCTATAAGTCTCGTTTTTAATAAAGGATCGGTTTTTCAGATTTGGGTACGGAGTAAAGAAAGATTTAGAACTTGTAACCCTACTTACGGTAAGTCTCGGCTCTAATGTTCTAATTTGAATAAACTTGATTAGGATTCCAAACTAAAAAAGATTTAAGATGAACTTATATTTCGCATGGTTGGCTTGTTTCCCTAATCTATATTCTATGTTGTATTGCTTCTTAAGTACGGATCAAATTGCTTTATGCAATTTTGTTGTTTTTAATTTGTTAATGAGAAATTAAAGCATCCAATAATGTGGATTAAATAGGAAAAAAAAAGGATAGAGAAGCAAGAGAAAACGAAGGAAAATTTGCTAGGAGAAAAAAAAAGAGAAAAACAAAGTGATCGAAGAGCTCTATTTTAGTTTAGATGATGCTTGGGTAATTTTATAAATCTTTAAATTTAATTAACCGAGTTAAGAAATTTGACACAAGTTATTCTTTTTTTCATATTAATACATTTGTATTGAATTTTGTTCAAAATTAAAAATTTTGAATGAAATTTGTCTTTTCTATTATAATTATAAAATACAAATGAAATATTATTTTTTTAACATAAAAGTATGATTTCTCTTTTTTAAGGAATAAAAGAATGAGAAAAAAAAAAGGAAAGAATATTTGGTAGACATGATGTTTGTAACATGATGAAAAATTGGGTATATATTGGGGTCAGCTGTTGACAAAGGGGTGGACGCAGAAAATTGCGCCTCTCCGAAAAGGTCTGAAGTTTGACTTTTGGACAAATGCCCTTGTAGTCTGCATAAAGTAGCCAAGAATGGAAGGATCAGCTTGGGATTTGGATCCCAGTGAACTGAAAAACTGATGAAAGACTCCGGACAAAACAAACACTACTACTGTCTATGTAGTAGCACGAGGTGGAAAAAGGGCAAAAAGGTTCGGAAAAAGGACCAAAAGGTTAGTTTTGTCCTTATAGGTTTCTAATGATTCAATATGAAGGCTTTAATTGAAATTTTATTTCAAAAAATTGCTTTTGCTTGTTTAGATATATATATATATGTATATGTATTATCATTTGTGAGAATAGCTGAAGAAAGTTGAAAAAAAAAAAAAAGATTTAATAAGTATTCCATTTTGGAACGGGCGTTTGAAATTTTAAAAGGAACGTCGAATGTGTATTGGTTTGTTAAATTAATGGTAAATTAAAAGGCAATGTATCTCTTGTTGTTTTGTCGTAATTGGTAAATCGAAAGGTGTTTTCTGTTGTGCCCACCTGGACAGGTCAGTGGACAGAGTGACTGTGTGACGTATGATGTTGTAGTAGTGTACGTAGGAAAAAGGTATAATATCGTATTTGACTCTAAATTATTATTATTTTTAATGTGATATTTAAAAAATTTATAATCTAATATTTAAAATTTATTTTTTAATCTAAAATTATCTTAATTCTTAATATTATTTAAAATAATATTAATGTGATATTTAAATATTAACGTAAATGATACATAATTATCATGTGATTTAAAATATAATTATTATATATTATTTTTAAAAAAATAAAAAAATTTTAAAATAAAATATTTAATTTTTTATTTGAAAATGATGTCATAATCACATCACTATCATATTATAATTATGTATCATTCATATTAACATTAAAATGCTACATTAATATTATTTTAATTGTATTAAGAGATTAAAATAACTTAACACACAAAATTAAAGCTTAGATAATTGATAAGAAAAATTCTTAATTTAAATATCATACTAAAAAAATTACAATAATTTAGAGATTAAATAAAAGTATTATCCCTAAAAAAATACCAAAATTAAACATCGTTAAAAAATTAAGGAGGAATTTTTTTTTATTTTGAAAGCCCACGTGTATGACGATGTGTCCAGGAGAGGCTAAATGCAAATGCTCTTATAAAACGCGGTGGTAGCTGTTGTTTTTTGCAAGTCGCAATGGTAGTGCGTGTGGCTGGGGCTGCATGTTTTGCTGATTACTACTACTACTATTACTACTAATTTGTTTAGTGGGAGTGGGAGTGGGAGTGGGAGTGGGAGTTGGAGAGTGTTAATAGAATTAGAGGGATGAGCGGGGGGTGGGCTGGCAGCCTGCCTCTCTCTGCCTTCTTCAGCCTTTATTGCATTTACACCGCAAAAATATTTCAAGACACACCCATTTTTCTTTCTGCCTAAAACTCCTTCACCCAAAATCATGCCACTGTCTTTGAAATTTTAGCCTTTTTCTCCCTCTAAAAGATTTTAAAAAAGGGACAATATGACCTATTTCCATTTAAAAATTAGTACAATACTCTCTTTCGGTTCTTGTTTTTGACCTTCATTACTAGCAAAAAAAAAAAAAAAAATGATGGGCGGGTGTTGAATCCAGAAAGATTGCTCCAGTTGAATCAAAGGGCCTCCTTTGTTTTTATTGACAAGTTGTATTTGGAAGGGACTTTCACGATCCATTTATGGAGGACGGAAGCGGCGGGGGAGGTGGGAGTGGGTCCGGTGGGGACCACGATGCCTTCGATCCTTCCCGGAGGAAAAAGCATTACCATCGCCATACTGCTCATCAGATTCAGAGGCTTGAAGCGTAAGAAGACAGGCGACCTTTCTTCCTTTCTTGTTAGTTTTGTTTTGTTTTTGTTCCCTTTATTTGTTTTGTTTTTGCTGGTGAAAATATGAAGAATATTCAAGGAGTGCCCACACCCGGATGAGAAACAAAGGTTACAGTTGAGTAGGGAGTTGGGATTGGCACCCAGGCAGATCAAGTTTTGGTTTCAAAACAGAAGGACCCAGATGAAGGTGGGTACTCCATCAGTGTGCTTTTGTTTTTTTTTTTTTTTTCTTTATTCTTCTTTTCAGTCTACTGTCATTCATTCATTCGTTCACTCTTTGGTTCCAGAACCAGCACGAAAGAGCCGATAACTGTGCTCTTCATGCAGAGAACGATAAGATCCGATGTGAGAACATAGCCATCAGAGAAGCACTCAATAATGTTATCTGCCCTTCCTGCGGTGGCCCTCCTGTCACCGAGGATTCCTATTTTGATGACCAAAAATTGAGGATGGAGAATGCTCAACTAAAAGAGGAGGTTTTTGCTATGCTTGCTTTTCTTCTTTTCCTTAAGTTAAAAAAAAGAAAAACAAATTAATCATTTTAGTATGTTTCGCTTTCTTGCACTTTGCAGCTTGATAGAGTATCTAGCATTGCGGCCAAGTACATAGGGAGGCCAATATCTCAACTCCCACCAGTACAGCCTGTTCATATTTCTTCATTGGATTTAAGGATGGCGAGTTATGACGGTCATGGGTTTGGTGTTGCTGGTCCTTCCTTTGATCTTGATCTTCTCCCTGGAAGTTCCTCCGCAATGCCAAATTTACCTCTCCAACCAGTTGTTATTTTGGATATGGATAAGTCCCTCATTACCGATATTGCTGCAAATGCAATGGAAGAACTGCTTAGGCTTTTGCAGACCAATGAACCTTTATGGATCAAGTCCAATGATGGGAGAGATGTTCTTAATCTTGAAAGCTATGAAAGGATTTTTCCTAGAGCTAATACCCACTTTAAATCTCCCAATGTTAGGATTGAGGCTTCCAGAGACACTGGTGTTGTCATCATGAATGGTTTAGCTTTGGTTGACATGTTCATGGATTCTGTAAGTTGTCGTTTAAATTTAATTTAAACCGTTACCCCCCCCCCCCCCCCCCTCATTTTCTAATCAATATAAATTTTAATGGATAAACTTCAAAATTTTTTGCAGAACAAGTGGGTGGAGCTATTTCCAACCATTACGTCAATGGCCAAGACTATCCAAGTAATTTCATCTGGAATGGTGGGCAGTCATAGTTGCTCTTTGCAATTGGTAAAACCTCTAATAAATGGTGCTTTCTTTTTTTTTTTGTTTATTCATGTTTTCTTTTCGCTTTTTTCCTAAACTAATTCTTGTCTTGTTGCAGATGTATGAAGAGTTGCAGGTGCTTTCTCCACTGGTACCCACACGTGAATTTTATATCCTTCGCTATTGTCAGCAAATTGAGCAAGGCTTATGGGCTATAGTGAATGTTTCATATGATTTTCCCCAATTTGCTCCTCAATGTCATAGGCTTCCTTCTGGATGCTTGATTCAGGATATGCCTAATGGCTACTCCAAGGTTGGTCAAGTTTATTCTTCTCATCTTTGCATACGTACCCTTCAGTTTTGCTCAACTTTAATCTTGAATATATGGCTAAACGCTGATAGGTTACCTGGGTGGAGCATGTGGAGATTGAAGATAAGACTCCAATTCATCCGCTCTATAGGGATCTCATTCATGGTGGTTTGGCATTTGGAGCAGAACGGTGGCTTGCTACTCTTCAAAGGATTTGTGAGAGGTTTGCTTGCCTAATGGTATCAAGCACTTCAACCCGGGATCTTGGGGGAGGTAATTTTCAGTAATTCATGCACTCTGCTTTAGTTATCTTGAGCTCTGAATAAAATGTCCAAATGTTTCAGTAATTCCATCCCCTGATGGCAAGAGAGGCATGATGAAGCTTGCTCAAAGGATGGTCAACCATTTCTGCACAAGCGTCAGCACATCCAATAGTCATCGGTGGACAACACTTTCTGGTTTGAATGAAGTTGGTGTGCGGGTCACCGTTCATAAGAAGTATGATCCTGGACAACCCAATGGTGTGGTTCTTAGTGCAGCTACTTCCTTTTGGCTTCCTGTTACTCCGCAAAATGTCTTCAATTTCTTCAAGGATGAGAGAACTCGACCTCAGGTATAATCAGATTGATCAGTGTCAAGTTTATATAGTAAGCTTGGTTGTTTCTCACTGTTACATTTTTTGGGATGTTTGTTCTTTCCTTTAGTGGGATGTTCTATCCAACGGCAATGCAGTGCAAGAAGTTGCTCATATAGCAAATGGGTCGCATCCTGGAAATTGCATATCTGTTTTACGAGTAAGGCTCCTGAAGTTCAAGTATTTTCCTTTGTGTTCTCCACATAAAGCTTCCTGCTTTCCTTTTTCTTTGGCTTAATAAGATTTTATTGCAATGCTTTGATGATTTTTCGTTTGGCATACTTAATGAATCTGTTTTCTGAATAGGCCTATAATACAAGTCAGAACAATATGTTAATACTTCAAGAGAGCTGCATAGACGGTTCAGGGTCACTAGTGGTATATTGCCCGGTTGATTTGCCTGCCATCAATGAAGCAATGAGTGGTGAGGATCCTTCATACATCCCCTTACTACCATCAGGTTTTACGATTTCACCTGATGGCCATCCAGACCAAGGAGATGGACCTTCAACAAGCTCAAGTGCGCATGGGAACATGGGAAGATCCGGGGGTTCACTAATTACAGTAGCTTTTCAGATACTAGTGAGCAGCTTGCCATCTGCTAAGCTGAACTTAGAGTCGGTGACAACTGTTAATAACCTTATCGGCACCACTGTCCAGCAAATTAAGGCTGCTTTGAATTGTACTAGTTCCTGATGATCTGGTTGTGTTACTGCTGCTACACAACTGTTTTTACCTCTCTCTCCATCATCTTTAAATATTGAGATCAGAGAAATTCAGTCTCTTTGGGCTGGTGGAATTCAATGTGGGGAGAGGTATAGTGGTTAGTTGGGACTTTCAATGCCCTCTCATCAAGAGCTGAAGCTGCTTACTTAACTGCTTGCTGCTGCTGTTGCTGTTTTTGCTGCCAAACTTCATTACCATCTACACCAACTAATGTTTTTAAATTTAAAATTTTTTTTTTTTCTTGGCGGGTTTTTACAAGGCATTTTGGGTTTTTTCTATTTGCCTTGTAAGAGGAGTCAAGAACGCACCATACGTTGTCTTTCCTGCTGGGCCTCTCTCATCGTTTTTGCCTTTTCCTTTCTCTACTCGTATTCTGCACGACAGAGCACGAAAGCAAAGTTGTATGGTTCGGGCATTGACTTCTGTTCATGGAGTTTGCTGTTATCTTTTAATTTTATTTTATTAATGTGAATCATCTGTATTCACTGTTTTTTTTTTTTTTTTTTTTTCAATAATAATATTAATTTCTCCCAATAGTAATAAATTTTCTTTTACAAAAGAGAAGTAATTTGAAAATAAAAAAAAATGTATATTGTGAGATTTAAATCTTAAATTTATGGAATGTAATTTATAGGTGTAGTTGCTTGAACAACCACGTAATTACAGATACTCATGTACTTAAAAAGTCTTAAAGCTACTGGGGGCCAATTTTAACACTTAGAAAAGCTTTGTAGTTTGTCATTATTGTTGGGCTCCATGCATTTTATTTGAGTTGAGTTAAACTTGAAATTTCACCGGTTCTGATATGCAATGTGTCACTAATAGTCAAGTGTGATATTATAATGGATTCTTTCGTACAAATTAGATACCTCAAATATTTGAACAAGCAATAAGTAAGACGTAGACATCATATTTGTTCAAGATTTTGTTTTTGTCCGTTAAGAGTTTAATTGGATTCAACTTTATGATTTTTTAATTTTATATTATTGATTAAAAAAAAGTTGAAATCTGCAGAATGTTTAGCTAGAATTGAAATTATTAAAGTTTTTTCAGGATCAAATTCGTATTGATGTAGGATAGTTGTTTCATATAGCATTTAAAAGTTAATTAGGTTTTAATTTTGTATATGTTCTGCATCAAGAGAAAATTAAGGAGTTATTGTTGATTGGGAATTTGAGATTAAATAAGAGTGAAGGAAGTTTTAAGAATTCTCTTTGAAATTGAAATCCTATTTGATTTTTAACAAAAAAGAATAATCAATCAGCATTAAGAAAAATTTTAGCAATTTTTGGGTAAATTCTTTAGTGAGATTTTGGGTTGGGTGTGATTTAGAAAGTGTTGATATAGGGAAACGAAAAAGGAGTCGAATTTTGAGTCTAAGAAATCCTTTTTTATTTTTTGAGATTTTTTAAAAATTTTGGGGGTTTCAATCAATTTTCGATAAGATTTGAAAATTTTGATCAAATTTTAGGATGTTTGAATTTTTTGATTTTTTTTTTATGAGGTTTGAAGCTTTTGATAATTTTTTAATAAGTTTGAACTTTTTGTGGGATCTTAATTTTTTATTGAAATTTCTAGCGGGATTTAAATATTTTGATAGACATTCATACTTTTTTAGAAAGAAGTAAGAGAATTGACTAGAGAGAGAAAAGGGAAAAAGAAATGTGAGGAAAAAAAAATGAAAGAAAGCTTTAAATATCTCATTGAAATAACATTGTTTTAGGTTTAAAAAATTTTGAAGACCTATGGCTCAACCCTGTTAGACCCGTGCTTTGATCTAAGGTAAACTCGACTCGTTTTGTACAATTTTTTTTTATTTTCCTTTATTTTTGATTATTTATTTATTTTGATTAAATTATTTGTTGTAATATTTAAAGTATTATTTATTTATTTATTTATTTTGTAAAATAATTAGAAATAAATAAAATTTTGTCTAATGATAAATTCCAAGAAAATTATAAGTGTGTAATTTTCTTAAAAATTTCTAAGTGAGAGTTGTTTTTTTTTTTTTAAATTCGATAAAGACATTAAAGGATTTAAAAATTGATCTTATTATAAGAATTTTTATTTATATTTAATTTAAAAATTTTAAATTAGAAATAATTATGGTGATTCCTTACATAATTAATTAAATTGTGATTATATGTATTAAACTATGTATTTAACCTTGCATTTGATTATGTATTTTATTATTATGAATTTGCATATTTAAATTATTATTTATTAATAATTAATTCTATTTCATAAAATATTTAATAAATTTGATGACGGAACCTCTTTAAGGAAACAAACGTATTACTTAAATACTCTTAAGGTGATGAATATTTTTAGGGGGTCAATTAAGATGTTGAAGAAAACCTAAAAATATTTTCAATAAATTATTAAAATTAACAAAAATAATAAATAATAAGAATAAGAGAGCATGTTAATTAAGGCTAAAAAGATAATTTAATATTAATTGATACTATTTATGGGCATTGTGGGGATAACCTTGTATTTGATTATGTATTTTATTATTATGAATTTTTATATTTAATTAATTATTCTTGAGGTGAGAAATATTTTAAGGAGGTCAATTAAAATGTTACAGAAAACCTAAAAATATTTTCAATAAAATATTAAAATTAACAAAAATAATAAATAATAAGAATAAGAGAGCATGTTAATTAAGGCTAAAAAGATAATTTAAGATTAATTAGTACATTTTGTGGTATTGTAGGGATGCTATAACCTTTTCTACATATAACCGAACTTTCAAACCCAATTCTATTTAAAGGACGAGAACTTATCCTTTTTAGAAACCTATATTTAAGCTTAGAATTTCCTTAGAAATGATATATTCACTTAGGTGCCAATTGTCCATAATTAAAAAAGATTGGTTGCGACTCTATGTGTTGTATCTAATGGGTTAGTTTTTAAACTTACACATTATGATAAGTTAGCTGTAAGTTAATTTACACTATAAAAGTTTTTTTATATATTGACACTTGGTTATACTGATGATCAAATTGCATTAAAAAAAAGACTTTTATTGATAGATTTTTAATACCGTAAGAATATATCATACTTATACCAATATTTTATTTAATCGTTAGTATCAATAAACTTTTTCTGACAGTATATCACTATCCGTTAGTATAAATATGTTATATATTGATGGTTATTAATGTAATAGTCAGTATATGCTTAAAAAAAAAACTATTGGCTTTTATTTGGGGAAAAAATTATGGGACATTTGGTAAAGGATTATTCAAGGTGTTTTTTGATAAAAAATGCCTTGAATAACCCCAATTAGTTTTTTGTAAAGGATTATTCAAGGCAAAATGCTGGAAAAAGGGATCAAACCTACGACCTTATGGTTAACAATTATATACTATAACCGATTGAGCTACTTTAGTGTTTTTATAATTAAAAGCTATTATTTAAACTAAGAATAATCTCCTCATAGAGAGGATTATTCAAGGTATTTTTTGCAAAAAATACTTTGAATAACTACATTCAATTTTTATGAAGGGATTATTCAAGGTGTTTTTGGCTAGAAAATACCTTGAATAATCTTTGAAAAACCCAAAAAATGCTAAAGAGATGGATCGACCCTATGACCTTATGATTGATAGTTGTATGCTTTAACTAATTAAGCTATTCAAATGTTTTTATAATTTAAAGGTATTATTTAAACTAAGAATAATCCGTTCCTAGAGGGGATTAAGGTGTTTTTTGTCAAAAATACCTTTAATAATCTCTTCCCATTTTTTTTACGGATTATTCAAGGCATTTTTGGCCATAAAATGCCTTGAATAATCCTTGAAAAGCCAAAAAAACACTAGAGGAAGGGATCAAACCTACAACATTATGGTTAACAACTATATGCTCTGAGCTACTCTAAAGTTTTTATAATTAAAAGGTATTATTTAAACCAAAAACAATCATTTCCCAAGGTATTTTTTTGTCAAAAACACCTTCAATAATCCCTTCACTTTTTTTTTAGGATTATTCAAGACATTTTTAGTTAGATAACACCTTAAATAACCCTATTCAATTTTTTGTAAGGGATTATTTAAAGAATTTTTGGCTAAAAATGCCTCGAATAATCCCTAAAATGTTTAAATCATTTTCTTTCCCTCTACCTCCCGCCGACTTTACATACTTAATCTCCACCTCTCACTAACTCTCTCCACCCATCGGTGCCTATAGCCTAATCTTCATCTCCCACCAACTCTCTCCACCTTTCACCAACTCTATAAACTTAAATCTATTAGCACCCATTTTGTTTTAAAGTTGAATCAAAGTTGAAGCATCAAGACTTCGTCAATTCTCAAAGGTATTTTCCATTTTCTACATTTCAATTTTGTGTCATTGAGCATGCCTTTTTTTTTTTGTTCTTCTATTCGTGCTAGCTTTGATGATTGAATGTTTTGTGAAGAAGTAATAACTTAGGATGATTAAATGTTTGGGGTTCACACAATTTGTACAAAAAACACCCAAATCTCTACAAGTGGTGACTCAAAGCATTTACAAACTTGATACAGGTACAACAAAATAGTAAATTGCATTGTTTAAAAAATATTTCCTAGAATTTAGTTATTAAATTACATATTTTCCCTATATGTAGGTACTGATAATTAGCTTATGAACAAAATCCTATATCCATCTTATCTAGATGGTGGGCAGCAGCCCTTTAGAAACCTTCAAATAAATATGAAGAATTCAACAACTTTAGCAGTTGCTTAGGTTGGTGAAGCAGGGTAAACCTATAATAGTGGACAAAATCTTGTCAGCAATTCATTTGTTTATAGTTTTTGGTATGCTTGACTTAACCTTGGGAACATTTCATATGTTAATTGACTAGTAAAAGCTTAATTTGATATGGAATTCTTTATTGGGTTTTACTAATTAAACAGGTATTTGGACTAACTTGGGATGGCATTATCTTGATTTGGGGAGTTATTTATTTACTTTGAGCACCATGTTTGTAGGCATTCAATCATAGATATTAATGTTCTTTTTGTTTTTGGATTTAGTATAATGATGATAGTTCTTGACTTATTTTAAATTTGTGGATTATAAAACAATTTGGTTGTTGTTTTATTTCAAATGTTATTAAATATTTTTACTTTTTTATGTATTTATACTTTATATGAAACTATATCATATTATGATTATAAATAAATTAATATTAATAATTAAGAATATAATTCAAAAAAAAGATTTTACTGACGCCTTAAAATTTATACCGACGCATTTTACTTTTGAAATATTTTAGGCTATATTGATAGTCATGACGGACTATTGGTAAAAGTTAAAACACATAAGACTATACTGATGGGCATTGATCATTGGTAAAAGATATACTGACAGAGACATTATTGGTATAAGTTGAAAAAATTAAAAGCATACGAGTCTATACTGATGGAAAAACCATCGATAA